ACTGCCTATGCTTTTAATCTCTACTCTTCTGGCACTCTGCTTTAGCTTCATTATATTAGACTTTGTCTTAACACATGGAATGATTATGAAATTAAAAAACTGTCTCGGGGCCTGTGCTGTGGCACAGCAGGTTAAAGCTCTAGCCAGCAGAGCCAACACCCCACTTGGGCACCAGTTCGAGTCCTGGCTGCTCCTCTTGCAATCCAGCTCTCTGATATGGCCTGGGAAAGCAGTAGAAGATGGCCATAAGAGGGAGAGACCCAGAAGTTCCTAGCTCCTGGCTTCAGATCACCTCAGCTCTGGCTGTTGCAGTCATTTGGGGAGTGAATCAATAGAAAGGAAGATCTCCCTCTCTCTGGCTCTACCTCTCTCTGTAACTCTGTCTTTCAAATAAATAGAAAAAATCTTTAAAAAGAAATGTCTCATAAACCAACTTTCAATTTTTTAAAGGTTTACCAATTATAGGACACTTGTTTTTTTTCTCAGAAAACTGAGCACTATTTTTTCTACCTGAAACTTGTACAACAGAAGTATTATACACCAAAAACTTCTATGGATTTCTTAAAGTAGAAATACAGGTTTACTAAAGACTACTCTTGGATATACTTGATCTCATAGATTGTTTTGAGAATGAGACAAAGTCATTACTTTCTGGCTATCAGGTAATTTATTTTGAATGTGTTAAACTCACTGATGTGTGAACTGCTTATCAAAGCTTGATAAACAGTTTATAAATCACTTTGAATTTGGCAGAAATAAATATTAATGAGTCAGTTTTCAAGGAATTTAAAGTAAGTTTCTTCTTCTTTCCCCATAAGTAAAAAAGAGAATTTCAGTTATTTTATTTAGAAAAGTATCTACAATTTATTAGCAATAGATGTTCCTCAAGATAGCCTTAAAATTATTTATTACACAAAATCAGATTGTTGGATCAAAAAAGACTATTCTTTGAAAATCCATCAAAGAATTCATTTGACGAAAGTTTTGTGTAAGACTGTGTTATGAAACCCAAATCCAATTCTAGTATTTTGATATAATAAAGTAGCTTGTTGCACCAAGATCTGCTCAGAACAAGCTCTAGAATAAGGAAAGAACAAAGTGAGTTCTTCAGGCCCCACATGCCCATTGATGTAGGGTCATAGCAATGTTGTAACACACACACCACCACAGCCTGCCTTTTCGTGCAGGACAAGACATTATCAAAGTTTTTCAGTATCTTCCCCAGGTCACTAAAGGGTAGAAAACTCAAGACTGGAGATCATGCCCGTATGATACATACCTGTATGTTTTTAGTACATGAAATAGGAAAAGTAGATAATTTTCTGTGCTATGTTAAAAATAAAAAGATCCTCCAGCTCTTCAAAATACATAACAAAGAAGATCATAAAAATCTACTTAGGAGAGACTTTGGCCTAATGGTTAAGAAACCTGTGACAGAGAACCTGAGTTTGATACTTAGCTCTGACTCCTGACTACGGATCCTACTAATGCAGACACTAGGGAGTAGTGTTGATGGCGCAAGTGTTCCTTCCTGCAACACAGGAGGTCAGGAGAGAGTTCCTGGCTCCCTGATTAATCCTGGCTCTGTCCTGACAATTGCAAACATTCTGGAGAGTGAAACAGCAGATGGGAGCACTCAATGTTTCACTATATTTTAAATAAAGATTAAAAAAACCTACTCATTTGCATATATTAGAAAGATCAGGTTCTGGGATATTTAACTGTAGATCTCAAATTATCATATCTGGACTTGGTCTTAATATTTTTTATTGCTGTATCTCCTTCTAGAGATATTACATATCATAATATGGACATTCTATTTCCTGTATCTAAATGCTTACTCCCAGTAACTATGAAATACTAGAAACCTCAAAAGTCATTTGTGCCGGCACTGCGGCTCAATAGGCTAATCCTCCACCTGTGGTGCCGGCACACCAGGTTCTAGTCCCGGTCGGGGCACCGGATTCTGTTCCAGTTGCCCCTCTTCCAGGCCGGCTCTCTGCTGTGGCCCGGGAGTGCAGTGGAGGATGGCCCAAGTGCTTGGGCCCTGCACCCCATGGGAGACCAGGAGAAGCACCTGGCTCCTGCCTTCGGATCAGCGTGGTACACCAGCAGCAGCGTGCTGGCCACGGCGGCCATTGGAGGGTGAACTAACGGCAAAGGAAGACCTTTCTCTCTGTCTCTCTCTCTCTCACTGTCCACTCTGCCTGTCAAAAAAAAAAAAAAAAAGTCATTTGTATCTTCTCTTGAGTTGGTTTACTGTGTCCCTTGAAATGGTTCTAATGATATCTAATTTTCCTAAAGGATGAGAGAAAACAAAAAGACCAGGACCATATTCTCTGCTTGTCTCTCATTTTCTCTCTGTCTCTGTAACTCTGCCTTTGAAATAAATAAATAAATTTTGTAAAGGGGCAATAGCATTGTGGCACAGAGAGTTAAGCTACTGCCTGCAATTCTGGCATCCCATATGGGTACTGGTTTGAGTCCTGGCTGCTCCATTTCCAATCCAGCTCCTTGTTATCATGTTTGGGAAAGCAACAGAAGATGGCCCAGGTACTTGGGCCCCTGCCACCTAAGTGGGAGACCCAGAGAAGCTCCTGGTTCCCAGCTTTGGCCTGACATACTCATGACAGTCGCATCCATTTGGGGAGTGAACCAGTACATGGAAGATATCTCTCTGTGTGTCTCATTCTCTTGCTCTTTCTGTAATTCTGCCTCTCAAATAAATAAATAAATCTTACAAAATGACAAGCATTATTGTATGAACTCAGGAACCTTGTTCACCATTAGGGACACTCAGTAGAATGGAACAAGGAGTGTGTGTCAAAATCCAATTCACATTCTACTCCTATCACAGTGGCCCACCCACTTTAAGTGGGTGGTATTTTCACTTTGCATAAATGAACCATATAGGCTCACAGTGACCCTGCAAAAACCTCAGAGTTAGGAAGAGAAAGGAAGGAAGTTGTTAGTCATGCAGCTTTTCAGAACCAATTTCTATCAGGAATACATTAAATGTTTTGGCATATAGAGGTAATGATGAGAATGTTTATTCCTTCAATCAGTGGCACTGGGGAAAACAGTTTTGCTCACATTAAAAAGAATCAGGAAAACCATCAGCAGCATGTCCTGCTCACTGTATTGAAATGAGAATGGTTACTAAGACAGCCTGTGAATAAAGAAAAAAGAAAAAGAAAAGGCCCTACAGAAGAGTGAGAAATAGGAAATCTCACATTCTCCAATTTGATGATTTTGTTTCAAAAACTTCTTAGTCTACCAGGAATAAAACACCATGACACATTTGAAAAAATCATCACACTATCACTGTGACCAATCCTAAAGACTCCTAAAGACACCAAGCTATCAAGTCTTCATGCATACATAACCAATATTTTCTACTTTAAAGCTAAATACCTTCAAAATTCTAACAATAACTACCCATATTTTGAGGGCTAAACACATTACTAGGTGGTTTGCATACATAAAACCCATCTTTCAAAATATAATACCTCAAAAGTTATGTGTTACTATTTCTTTTTGGTCAACGAGAATATTTACGCTCACAAAAGGCTAAGAGACTTGCCTAACTTTATGGATCTCATCACTGCCGATTATAGATTCAAATGTATGCTGTTTCTTACTTTAAATCTGAGCTCTTACAACACTACTGAACTAAATAGCCACTGAGAAGGCTTCGAACTTAGGAGAGAAAGTGGTATTTTAGTGAATCAAAATTTTGATGTAAAATATACAAGATATAATCCCGTTAATCAAATATGTCAACGTATACATTTTCCTATTTTCAAAAGTAAAAATCTGTTATACTGCCCCAACTTGAAAGCACATGGTTACATGTTAATGATTAGAAATGTCATATCTATCTATCTTTCTATGTATCCATTTATTTTTTAACTTTTATTTAATAAACGTAAATTTCCAAAGTACACCTAATGGATTACAATGGCTTCTCCCCCCCACCCCTTAACTTCCCTACCACCTGTAACCTTCCCATCTCCCACACCCTCTCCCAACCATTCGCATCAAGATTCATTTTCAATTATCTTTATATATAGAAGATCAACTTAGTACGTATTAAGTAAAGTTTGCACCCACACAAAACATAAAGTGTAAAATACTGTCTCAGTACTAGTTATAGCATTAATTCACATTGAACAACACATTAAGGACAGAGATCCTACATGAGGAGTAAGTGCACAGTGACTCCTGTTGTTGACTTAACAATAATTTGACACTCTTGTTTATGGCATCAGTAATCTCCCTAGGCTCTTGTCATGAGTTGCCAAGGCTATGGAAGCCTTTTGAGTTCACTGACTCCGATCTTATTTAGACAAGGTCATAGTCAAAGTGGAAGTTCTCTGCTCCCTTCAGAGAAAGGTACCTCCTTCTTTGATGGCCCATTCTTTCCACAGGGATCTCACTCGCAGACATCTTTCACTTACGTCTTTTTTTTTTTTTTTTTGGCAGAGTATCTTGGCTTTCCATGCCTAAAGTACTCTTATGGGCTCTTCAGCCAGATCGAATGTCTTAAGGGCTGATTCTGAGGCCAGAGTGCTGTTTAGGACATCTAACATTCTATGAGTCTGCTGTGTATCCTGCTTCCCATGTTGGACCATTCTCTCCTTTTTAATTCTATCAGTTAGTATTAGCAGACACTAGTCTTGTTTATATGATCCCTTTGACTCTTAGACCTATCATTATGATAAATTGTGAACAGAAATTGATCACTTGGACTAATGAGATGGCATTGAATTGGAATCCCTTGGCACGTTTCTAATTTACCATTTGGGGCAAGTCAAATTGAGCATGTCCCAAATTGTACATCTCCTCCTTCTCTTATTCCTACTCTTATATTTAACAGGGATCACTTTTCTGTTAAATTTAAACACCTAAGAATAATTGTGTGTTAATTACAGAGTATCCATTTATGTTAATCTTTAATTTCTAAGAAATCAGCTGGGAAGTATGGAAAGGCTGCTTACCTGTTCTGATAATTTTTGTCCATTGATGTGAGCCTGCATTATGGCATCATTCACGAGCAAGTGGAAGTTTAGGAGCACATGTTCAATGTCATACGTCCCGTGCATTGCATCTGACAGCTCTTCCAAGGACCGGATGTATGCATGCCAGTGTGGATTAAGCTCTGCCATGTGGGCCAGGCAGCCTCTTACAATATTAAGGCAGTACCCCATGCAAGGCTTACTGAGAGTCAGCCCCTGGCAGTGGGGGCAGTACTGCATCCTCAGGAGGGCTCTGCTGCACTCTTTGGAGAAGCGTAGGTGGTCTGTGGTATTGATGACTTCAATGCCTAGATTGAGTGCCTGCAGAAAGGTGCGGCTGGGCAACAGTGACCTTCCCATCTGCCCCATTACTCTTTTGGGAATACTACCAAACGGACTAACTTCTCGACGAGCCATGCGGATGCATTCTGAGTATTCCAGGGAACTGTCAGTCACATCGGGGTTAATGAGGTGGTTGTAGACCAGAGGAAAAAGACTGTCAAAAAATCTGTTTACAAATTCTTCTGGATTGACATCCACACCAAATAAATAAAGCCCTACATCAGTGAAGAACTCCTGAACTGCAGCAGCAGCCTCTAAGGCCATGTTCCTGTAAGTGTTGCAAAAAAGGATACTGGTATAATTTTCTGCTTGTTTGATGAGAGTTTCAAGGGTTTCTGTAACAAAACAGAGAAAAAGGATGAAAAGACTTTTAGTACACATGTTAAAACTGTTCTGGATAGTTAATGAGTTTAATGCATCAAGCTAACCTAAGGATCTAAATCATAATGCTCAGCCTACTAAAAAATAAGCTTTTCAAAATGATAGCTGGAAACAATGGTCACTATAAACAACACACAAGCTTTATAGAGATATAGTTCCTAGAACCAAAGACTGCTAAACATGCATTAATCATGGCTTGTTGTTTTATTCTATAGTTATCCATATTCCACTAGTGATAGAAAGCTTGTCACTGAGAAATGTTTTTCATATCTGAAGTTCATTATTTATAAACAATGATATTAAATAGTTGTTTCACCCCTGCTTAAGTTTTGTAGCTTTTGCTTTTTTTTTCCTGAATGAAAGCTTATAAATTATGCAACAGTTACTATAGAGAGGCTAATTTTCCAAAGAAAAACATGACGATCCTCAGACTTCTTAACATTTAAACTAAAAAGAAACAAAATCTTTTACTATCAAACTGCCTGTAAATTATCACACCTTGTTAATCATGGGAAAATAAATCCTGCTATTTGATGAAAATGACTGTCCATTGTCATATCATCCTACCTTCAAAGACTTTACTGTGCAATATATTGAATTTACTGTGCAATATATTACTTCTTACTTATATAATTGATGCGTCCAAATCAATTTCTCTTCTTAAAGAACCAAGAATAGGGGTGGGTGTTTGGCACAGTGGTTAAGGTGCATCTTGGAATGTCCACATTCCATATCTAAATGCCTTGCTTCAAGTCTCAGCTCTGCTGGCAATACTATGCAATTTTAGCTTCCTCTAATGGACACTGTAGGAGGCAGCACATGACTTTGGCCTGAGCCAGCCTCAGCTATTGTGGGCATTTGAAGAGTAAACCAGCAGATACGAGATTCTCTCTCTCCCTCTTTTCATTTAAATAAAATAATATAAAATTTTTAAAAGAGAAAGGACTAAGAGTAATATATCTACAACTTAAGGGAGGAAAACTAAAAATGCGAGTTAGAATAATCAGCAAATGCTATTTAAATAAATGATGACAGTGATAAACCAACTTGGATATACTAGTAATTACATTTTATAATTAGCCTAAATAATGATAATGGCTTGTCAATGGATAATTAATCATAAAATATAATAATCTCTCATAGCCCCAATCTTATAGTCATCTTTAGTCAGTTTGTTAAAGACCATACAATAATTTGGTAATAAAATTACTGTTTGAGTTTATTTTTCAAGAAAGATGGAAGAATAGTGGAAAAATAAAATAATAAAAAAACTACTTCTCATGAATTACTCATGAAATAGAACGGTGTCATGAACATGCCTGTATCTTCACAAAGAAAATACATTTTCATAAAAAATACAAATGTCAAAATGTCAAGTATTCTTTTTTAAGATTTATCTGCCAGCGCCGTTGCTCACTAGGCTAATTCTCTGCCTGCAGTGCTGGCACCCCTGGTTCTAGTCCTGGTTGCTCCTCTTCCAGTCCAGCTCTCTGCTGTGGCCCGGGAGGGCAGTGGAGGATGGTCCAAGTGCTTGGTTCACTCCCCAAATGCCTGCAACAGCCAGGGCTATGCACCAAACCAAAACCAGGAGCAGGGAACTCTGTTTGGGTCTCCCACATGAGTGGCAGGGACCCAAGTACTTGGACCATCATCCACTGCCTCCTGGGTGCATCAAAAGGAAGATGGATAGGAAGTACAGAGTAGCCGGAACTAGAACAGCCATTGCAAGAAGGAGGCAGGTAATTCAAGCGGTGGCTTAAAACTCTGAGCCACAACACCAGCCCCATGTCATATATTCTGACTTTGATCTGATGCTGATCCACATTGGGTTCCAGACTTTCATGTGATGTTTCAAGTGTCATCTAACCTCTAGTAAAAGGAAACCACTTTATTATTATTATTATTATTATTATTATTATTATTTTTGGCCAGGCAGAATTAGACACTGAGAGAGAGAGAGAGACAGAGAGAGAGTTATAGACAGTGAGAGAGAGAGACAGAGAAGAAGGTCTTCCTTCTGTTGGTTCACTCCCCTAATGGCCGCTACGGCCAGCACTGCGTCCATCCGAAGCCAGGAGCTGGGTGCTTCCTCCTGGACTCCCATGCAGGTGCAGGGACCATCCTCCACTTGGGCCATCCTCCACTGCCCTCCCAGGACACAGCAGAGAACTGGACTGGAAGAAGAGCAACCAGGACTAGAACCCGGGGTGCCGGCACCGCAGGTGGAGGATTAGCCAAGTGAGCTGTGGTGCCGGCCAGGAAACCACTTTTAAAGGCTTTTTGTAGCTCTACTGCAACACAGAGGTCTATTGGCTATACTGTTAACTAGGCAGAACTCCTGTTATCCATGCATTTCTAGTGCGCTCTAGAGTTTAAACCACATATTAATAAATGAAATAAATGAAAATGGAATAGTAACTGAAGGCACCAATTGAGACTATCAGCTCTGCCCAGTAAGAGTCTTAGTACTGTTTCCCCCTAACTGACCAGATCATCTGAGCACCAAGAAGAATGAACAGGTTACCAGGCCTCTGAACTAATTCTAACCTAGGTCTGTGTTGGTCCACAAATATGTGTAACAAACAGCCAGATGATTCTTTCGAGCTGACCAGTTTTTGAAATATTGCAGTTGCAATATTAATGAACAACTTAATACATTATCCCTCTTAGTAGTTTTTTTGTCTGTTCTACTTAATATGACTGGTTTAGATCTGTAATTGATGCACAGTTATTCTTAAGTGTTGAAAATTAACTGAAATGTGATCCCTGTTGAACATGGGAGTGGGAATGGGAGAGGGAAGAGATGTATAATTTGGGACATGCTCAGGCTGACTTGCCCCAAGTGGTGGAGTTGGAAGCATACCAGGGGATTCCAATTCAATCCCATCGAGGTGGCATGTACCAATGCCATCTCACTGTTCCAGGTGATCAGTTTCAGTTCACAGTTGGTCATGGTGGAGGGACTGGGAGTCAAAGGGAGCACATAGACAAGTCTAGTACCTGCTAACGCTAACCGATGGAGTAAATAAAGGGGAGAGTGATCCAACATGGGAAGTGAGATACTCAGCAGACTCATAGAATGGCAGATGTCCTAAATAGCACTCTGGCCTCAGAATCAGCCCTAAAGGCATTTGGAGCTGGCTGAAAAGCTCATGAGAGTATTTCAGGCATGGAAAGCCAAGACACTCTGGCAAAAGATCTCTGCGAGTGAGATCCCAGTGGAAAGAACAGGTCTTCAAAGAAGGAGGTACCTTTCTCTGAAGGGAGGAGAGAACCTCCACTTTGACTATGACCTTGTCTAAACAAGATAAGAGTCAGAGAACTCAGAGGGCTCCCATAGCCTTGGAAACTCATGACTGGAGCATAGGGAGATTACTGATGCCATAGACAGGAGTGTCAATTGGTAAAGTCAACAACAGGAGTCACTGTGCACTTACTCCTCATGTAGGATCTCTATCCTTAATGTGCTGTACATTGAGATTTAATGCTATAACGAGTACTCAAACAATATATTTCACTTTGTGTTTCTATGGGGGTGCAAACTGTTGAAATCCTTACTTAATGCATACTAAACTGATCCTCTGTAAAAAAAAAAAAA